CCCGCTCCTCCCGGGTGCCCCCCCATGCACCCCGCTCCTCCCGGTGCCCCCCCCAGATGCACCCGCTCCTCCTGGGTCCCCGGGGAGCTGCCTCCCGCACAGGCTGCTCCCAGAGAGCAGCGGCAGAGGGCCCTGTTACAGCCCAGGGAACCCAGGAAAATCCCAGGGCAAGAGGAGCAGGGAAGCAGACAGATTGTTAAACAGCAGTTTGTGGCCACCTAGTAAGTCAGGTCGTCCCTAAACCAAGGACACTGAAGGGTAAAGGGTTTGCATTTCTTCTCCCCAGGCAGAGGGCAGGTGGCTTAAATCACCCCACTCAGGACGACAGATAACAGAAATCCATTTACTGTCATTTGCCAACCACACCCACAGACGAATGACATTAAGAGAATACATCTCATCGGTGCAACAGCATAAAACTGATGAATATTCTGTTGTCCTCCCCTAAGTGCCCCGCCTTTAAAAACCCCTGAAAATGAATGCTCCATGGTGCTCTCCACCCCCCCATGGGAGCTGCCAGAGCCATTTCCCTCTCCCCTCCAAGGGGCCCCATGAGACTTGCAACCAGGGAAGCAATGGGCAGCAGCAGCCGTCCCAGGCTTACCCCCTGAACCTGTTTCCAAGGTCCCGGAACCTGCCCCTTTTCTCTCTCTGACTTCCCAGGGAGCGCAAGCAGCCCAGCCCAGGCTCTCCAGTGCCGCCTTCTAGGCCCTTCCTACGTATATTTTTGCTGTGGCCAATAAATTCTTGCCTTCTTTTCGACACTGTCTCTTGGTTGAAATCTTCCCCTCAAGAAGACAAGAACCGAGGTCTCCTCATCATCTCCCTGGTAACACCTGTACTGGCCAATACCACCTGATCCAGGGCCTCTGCGCCTCCTGGTTTTGGAGAAGTTGCACCCCGCTCCTGAAAGTCACTCCTAAGGAAGGGCGGACAATGACATAGCTACTTTCTTGAAAGGAGGGAGGATCCCACATGTTATTTGTGTAATTTACAAAAGTTATCTTAAATCTAGAGGCAGTTTGGCCGGCATGGCTCAGTCANTTTGTGTAATTTACAAAAGTTATCTTAAATCTAGAGGCAGTTTGGCCGGCGTGGCTCAGTCATTGAGCATCAACCTAGGATCCAGGAGAATGAGGTTCAATTCCTGGTCAGGGCACATGCCCGGGTTGCAGGCTCCTCCATCCCCAGCAGGGGGCGTGCAGGAGGCAGCTGATCCATGACTCTCATTGATGTTTCTCTCCCTCTCCCTTCCTCTCTCTGAAATCAATAAAAATATATTTTAAAAAAGCAAAACCCAGAGGCAGCCAGAATAGGACATGAGACATAAAACCCCATTTGTGCTTAATAGACATTTATTAAGTTCCTCATGTGCAGAGATTTATTAAGTCCCCTGTGTGCACAGGTATTTATTAAGTTCCTCATGTGCTGCCGGGGTGGAGGGCCCATGGGGCACCTGGTGGCCAGAGCGAGTCCCAATGTGGGCCCTCCCACAGGGACAGCCCCTCCTGGGTCCTGAGGGGAAGGCGGGTCAAGGTTCCCATGGGAGCCCTCATGGCACAGAGTAGTTGTATCCCTCGGCTTATGCTTTCCACGGAGGCTCAGGTGGGCTGGTTTGAGGCCCCAGCCAGTGCTCCAGGCCTGGGACAGAAGGGGAAGGGCTGGCCTGTGCCCAGGAGATCACAGCCTTGCAGACACATGGGCAGCCTTGACTGGCAGCAACAATCGCCTTAATAATCATTGGAGCTGGAGGCCAAACTGAACGGCATTTTCCAGTGGGGTCAATCCATGACCAGAGTGTCTTCCAGAACATTCTGCCCTCCCGCACCAGCAGGAAGCCCCTCCCTGGCCTTCTGTGGGATTGGGGTCCTGGTCCCCTTTCTCAGGGATACTGAAGAGTGTTGAGGACGCGCTGACACCAGAGTGGGACATTTTTGCACTAAAGGGGGAGGTGATGGAAACGGGCGGAGTTGTGAGTCCGGAACTAACGCAGCACATCTGCTTGTGGGCCCCAAGGCCCAGGTCCTGGAAGAGTGAGTCACGTGTGTGCTGACCAAGGCCTGAATGAAATGGAAACCAGGGACCTGCTGCTGCGGTGGAGGGCCCAAGGGCACCTGGTGGCCAGAGTGAGCCCCAATGTGGGCACTTCCACAGGGACAGCCCCTCCTGGGTCCTGAGGGGAAGGCGGGTCAAAGTTCCCACGGGAGCCTCAAGGCCCCTGGAGCCTGGACAGAGCTCTGCTCACTGGGGTGGAGGGCTGCTGGGGTCGTCCACACTCTTATCAGGATGCTCGAAACCGTAGTTGACATAGATGCTGCTGGCCTGGCACGCTGGGGAGGAGTGCTTCGAGCAGGAGGCTGTCCTGGCCGCAGCAGCTGCCTCCGCCTCCGCCTCCGCCCGCCTCTGCTCCAGCACCAGAGCTCTGTTGACATCAGGCCCTGCAGGGGGACAGACAGAGGAGCACAGTCACTGCACCTCGCCAAGGACAGGAGTGCTGCCCACGCTGTGTCTGTGGCCCCCCGGGTGGGGAAGGACCCGGGGCAGGGCCTGGGCGCTCACCCAGGTAGCTGAGGATGACAGGCAGGAAGACCAGGCCGTGCAGCAGGCCCAGCACAGTGATGAGGAGATTGAGACGGAAGAAGAAGATCTGGATGAGCTGGGCCTTCGCCAAGCCCAAGACTAGGATGCCGGGCAGGTTGGTCATGGCCACTCCGGCGAATACCTAGGGTCGCAGGCAGGTGTCAGGCCGGGCACGAAGCAGCCGGCTGAGGGTTTCTTGCAGCCTCCCACCCACTCACCGCACTGCCCATGGAGACGGTGGCCTCCTTGGCCCTCTCCAGCCGGGTGGGCTTGGTGCTGACTGCAAAGGAGCGGGTGATGTGGGACACGAACTCCACAGAGATGCCCACCGTCTGTGGGCAGAGGGGGCGTCAGCCTCGAGAGGGTTGGGGATGGGGTCTTCGCCCAGGCCAGCGGGCAGAATTTAGACCCTAGAGAGAACGGGGCACGCCCCACGAGGCCCCATGGCTGGCAGTTACCGTGACCAGGTTGATGAGGGACACAGCGTTGTAGCTGATGCCCCATAGGGCCATGAAGCCCACGGTGTCCACCAGGATCATGATGATGGAAAAGAGGTTGAGGAGGCCAGAGCGGAGGTCCATGCCCAGCAGGATGCAGCAGACGGCAAAGGTGGGCACAAGGCAGAGGCTGAGCATGAAGAGCCCCTCGGGCACCACCGTCAGGTACTGCTCATAGAACACATTGGTGATCCTGCGGGTGCAGTGACATCATTTGGGGGCTGGGCCTCCTGCACCCATCTCAGGAGGAGGGTGCAGCTCAGGGAGGGGGCGGGGCAAAGGCCCTCCCCAGGTCCCTCCCTGCAGCCCACCGCCCTGGCCTCACGTGTAGGGGAAAACCTCGAAGGCTGGGTCGGTGCCCGGCACCTTCCGCAGGCCAGTGGTGATGTTGGCCGCCAGGGCCCGAGCTGCCCGCAGAGCCTCCGTGTAATCCTGCGAGTTCCTCAGGGGCTTGTGGTAGGCCATGAAGCGTGAGGCTGGCACCGGCCCGGAGCAAAAGGCAAAGGTCAGAGCCAGCTTCAGACGCCCTCGGGACCCCGGGACACTTGGGCTCAGGGCTCTGCTGCCACCATGTTGGGATTCATAATAAACTTCGGGCAAAGGGCCTGCAGTTTGGTTTGGACCGGCCCTGCCTCTGATGGATGGAGCCATGAGGGTCTCCCATGCACCCAAATGCTGCTCTGTAGGTTTGGGGTGGGAGGGACGCAGGGCAGACAGAGGTAAAGTCTGAGGACAAAGGGCTGAGTAGCTGAGGCCCGTGTCCCAGGGGGTGGCTAGAAGCCACCAGGAAGGAGAGAAGATGCCAGATTGAGGCCGTCCCCTAGGGCTCCTGGGCCTGGAGCCACTGACTCACATCTTCCCCACCACGGCAGGCCACCCTTACCTAAAACCTGGCCATCTTCGCCCAACTTCACGGAGGTGCTGTATGCTGCGAGGCCCCTGGGGGTGGGCAGAGTAGAGGCTTGGTCGGGCACCAGGCCCCCCCAGGCCCCTCCACCAGCCTCCCGCCTCTCTGTGCTCCCCACTCTCATCCTCCCCCAGATGCCCCACCTAGGCCTACCCTTTGGGGCACATGATGTTGGGCGGGTCACTGAGGAACCAGGGAAGGTACTTGTGGAACTGCTCCACGGAGGGACGCACGGGGCCGAAGGTGAAGCTCACACAGTTCTTCAAGCAAGCCAGCGAGTCTGCAGAGCGAGCAGGCGCTGAGGGTGGCGGCACCGAGGCCCAGAGGCCCTGCTCTGCGCCGCCTCCCACCCTCTGTGCCCCTCACACCCAGGCACATCTCTCTAACTGTGAGGGGGTCTCTCCATCATGGAAACTGCCGACCCCTGACCACTGCAAACAGATGAGGAAGGAAAGCTTGGGGCAGAGAAACAGCCCACGGCCTACAGAGCCTCCCCGTTCCACCTACAAATGCAGCTGCTCCAGGGGCAGGGCCACGTGCCACCTTGGCTCATGCCTGCCATGTGACAGCCAGCCTGCCCCTGGAGCATGGGCACAACTCAGGAGAGACACGAGTGTGTGAGTCCCGGTGGTCTGTTTGGGCTTGGCAGCCCACACACGTGTTCTGAGCCCCGTAGGAGGGTTTGAGGGGCTCAGGGGGCCTTGCCAGTTCTCCTTTCTCTCGCTGCAGTTTCTCCAGGCTGTGGGGAACACGAGCCCCCAGAGGCGTCTCACTCACTGACGGTTGAGGGGCAGAACTGATCCTTATTGGGGCCAAAGGTGTAAATGCGGCAGCAGGAGGACGGCGTGAGCCAGTCGATGAAGTCGTCCACCCAAGAGGAGGCAGGGATGGCCAGGTAAGACCTGAGGTTCAGGGGCAGGAGGTCAGGGGGCAGGACGAGGCGGGCAGGTTGGGGGTCCTTCCTGTGGCTTGACCCCCACGCTGGGCCTCCCCAGGCACCAGGCGGCAGGCAGGCAGCAGGGTGGGGACAGAAAGGCAGGAAGGGGCACTGGAGGGAGTGGGGGACACAGACGGGCATGGGCAGGGACACTCACTGCTCAGGGAACTGAGTGGCATACTGGATCTTCTGGGTTAAGGAGAAGCTTTTGCAGCCAGCACTGGAGCAGATGTTGTTCATTCCCTCCTTAGTGGAGAAGTTGTAGCCCCCGGTGGTGACAAAGTAGACCGGGGCCCCCACCTCAAAGTAGCGGTTCAGAAAGAGGAAATAGTCGAGCAGGTATGAGTCCTGGAACAGAGGACAGTCGGTGAGGCCAGACCAGATGCATCCCAGGGGCCCGCGCCAGCTCACAGTCACAGGGTACAGCTGCAAAGGTACAGCTGCAGAGGTACACACATGGAGGTACAGCCGCAGAGGTACACACATGGAGGTACAGCCGCAGAGGTACAGCTGGAAAGGTACAGCCGCAGAGGTACAGCCGGAAAAGGTGCCGCCGCAGAGGTACAGCCACAGAGGTACAGCCGGAAAAGGTGCCGCCGCAGAGGTACAGCCGCAGAGGTACAGCTGGAAAGGCACAGCCGCAGAGGCTCACTCACAGAGGCTCACTCACAGAGGCATGTGCATAGACATACATGTTCACAGAAGCTAATGCTCAAGGAGGCACATGCACAGTTCCAGCACAGAGCTGCATGGTTGGAGGTGCACCCACAGAGGTGCACACATCCAGGTGTAATCACAGGTAGGTGCCCAGAGTACACTCACGAGGTACAAGCAGAGTCCAGGTGCTGCCCCACGTGGACACTCTGACTCACACACACGTGCAGATACATGTAATTTTACCCTTCTCGTCACCAGTACACACACCTTGGGCATCTCAGGAGGAAGCGAGAGAGAGAGAGAGGCAGGAAGATATGTGCGGAAATAATGGCCAAAATTTCCCAAATTTGATGAAAGATATGACTATAAACATCCAAGAAGCTTAACAAACTCCAAGAGCCCTGGCCGGTGTGGCCTAGTTGGCTGAAGTGCCGTCCCATACGCCAAAGGTGGTGACTTCTATTCCGGGTCAGGGCACAAACCCAGGTTGTGGGTTTGGTCCCCAGTTGGGGCATGTGAGAGGCAACCAATTGATGTTTCTCACATCGATGTTTCTCTCTCTCTCCCCCGCTTCCTCTCTCTAAAAAATTTAAATAATTAAAATAATTAAAATCGAACTCCAAGAAACCCACACCAAGGCACATTACAACTCAGCTGTTGAAAAGCAAAAACAGAGAATTTTGAAAGCAACAAGATAGAAGAGACTTGTCACATACAAAGATCCTCAATAAGATTATAAACATATTTCTCATCAGAAATCTTGGAGGCCAGAAGGCAGCAGGTTTGTATATTCAAAGTGTTGAAGGAAAAAGAACTGTCAATCAAGAATCCTATTTCTGACGCGGCCGGCGTGGCTCAGGGGTTGAGGGTGGACCCATGAACCAAGAGGTCGCCTGTTCGCTTCCCTGTCAGAGCACAGGCCTGGCTGTGGGCTCGGTCCCCAGTAGGGGGCGTGCAGGAGGCAGCCAACAGATGTTTCTCTCTCTCGACCCCTCTCCATTCCTCCCTCTCTAAAAAATCAATAAAAAGATATCAAAAAAAAAAAAGTATCCCCCCAAAAAAGAATCCTACTTCTGGCAACACTGTTCTTCAAGAATAAGAGAGAAATGAAGACATTCCCAGATAAACAAAAGCTGAAGGAGCTTGTTACCAGAAGACCAGCCTGCAAGAATGCTAAAGGGAGTCAGTCCCTCAGGTTAAGTGGAAAGGGTGCTAGAGCATAACTCAAAGCCATATACAGAAATAAAAATCCCTGGTAAAGGTAAATACAGTTGATGCTTGAACACGCAGGGGTTAGGGGTGCCGACCTCCCTCCCCAGGCAGTTCAAGGTCCCATTATAACTTTTGACTCCCTCAAAACTGAACTACTAATAGCCTACTGTTGACCGGAAGCCTTATCAAAAATAGTGAATTAACACATATCTTGTATGCGGTATGTATTATATACTGTATTTTTACAATAAAGCAAGCTAGAGGAAGGAAAGTGTTATATAAAAATCATAAGCAAAATACATTTACAGTCCTGTGCTGTATTTATTGCCACTGTAAGTTTACAGGGTGTGTTTACAAGGTGAATTATATATCAGTACCTACATCAATATTCTCTTATATGATGCAAAACATTGTAGATGCTGTAGTATTACTAACACAAGACATCAAAAATGAAAAAGTGACCCGAAAAAGAGATCATATTTATTTACCGGTGTAACGATTTGTGCATTGGTAACAGAAGCAGCCATAGGATACTTTATGGCAGCTGAGTATAATTGTTAGGGTTGCCTCATGGTAGCCTGGCCTTTGCACTAATCAATGAATTGTTACAAAATTTTTATGGCATACGTATTACAGTCATACTCATAACAACATATTGGAAACACTGTTACATTTTTTAAAAAGCACTTACCTGGGATAATAGGCTGGTAGTCAGTTTCTCCAATTACGAGAGAGAGGGGCATTCTGTACGGTAATGTAAGTCTTTGAAAGCCAAGTTATAAAACAGTAAGAAAATGGACACATTGCCCGGCCGGGCGTGGCTCAGCGGTTGAGCATCGACCTGGGATCCAGGCGATCAGGGTTCGATTCCCGGTCAGGGCACATGCCCGGGTTGTGGCCTCGATCAATGACTCTCTCATCATTGATGTTTCTATCTCTCTCTCTCCCTCTCCTGTCCTCTCTCTGAAATTAATAAAGATATATTAAAAAAAAAAAAGAAAGAAAGAAAGAAAATGGACACACTATTAATTTATACTAACATCACTCTCCTTATGCCTGTGGATGGATGGCCTACCCCCTTCCAAACGGGTCTGCACACGACGTTCTACGTGATGAGCGCTGAGGCGATGGCGATGATGACTTGATGACAGTAACTCATGCGGCGCGGCCACAGGGCCATAGCTTTTAGGGTTTCCCACGGAGACCCTCACACACCTGCACAACTAATTAACTGCGGCGCTGGTCACATGCTGCTCGTTCAGCAGAAGACGGGCCTCGTTCTTCGTGCTGACGGGTGGGGGAGGCAGAGGACGGGCCCTCGGGGGAACTTCATGGAAATACACCGAAATTTCTGCCTGGTCTTTTCATGTCTTCCTTTCTCTAAAGCTGTTTCCATGCAGTTCCGCTCCCTCTTCCCCCGTCTGCTTTCGTTCTGGTGCCTGTGTCGGCGAAGGGTCCCTGTCGTGAAGGAAGCCAGGCAGCCCTGAGCCATCCGACCCCTTCTGCCAGATCGTAGACGTCAGTCAGTTTCCTGGGCCTGCTGCCCCCACGTCTTCTGCCTCAGCGTCTGGCGCTCACCTCCAACAAGTCATCTTCTGTTAGCTCTCCAATTTCTCCAAGATCCACGTCTTGAAGGCTTTCACCCCCACCCTCACCTTTTTTTTTTTTTTTTTTTTTTCC